ATACCGGAGGAAGAAAGTTAACGGCCACGAACGTTAATTCTTCCGGATGGTCCAAGACGTATTTAAGGTCTCACCCAACCCTGAGGGCACGGGCTCCGTCTCGCCCGACCCCTTATGCGTGGGTCCCGTCTTGCCAGACCCCTCGGGCGCGGGCTCCGTCTCGCCTGACCCCGAGGGTGCGGGCCCCGTCTCGCCAGACCCCGAGAACACGGGCTCCGTCTCGCCCGACCCCAAGGGTGCGGGCTCCGTCTAGCCAGAACCCTCGGGCACGGGTTCTGTCTCACCCGACGGGGATCCATACTGCCCCCAACCACTACAGGTCTAAGAGTACGACCCCAGGGTCAAACTTCTGACACCAGGAGAGAAGTAGGCAAGTCTCGACGTGACCCGTGGCCACGACGGACCATATCTAGGGGCTCACATCGCCAATAGTGTCGGGCGTGCTGACGCTGTGCTGCCTAATCCTTGTACGGCTTTTGACAGGAGTACCTGTTGACCACGCCGCCCATCAAAACAGAGTGGAGCACCACGACCGGCTGACGACGTCTGCGTATGGCGTCAGTGACGAACAGGACCACAACGTGGAGCCATCCCCGTCATCATCTATAGGACTAGCGGGACCCGCATAAAGGAGATGAAGGACGCCACGACCCTAGAGGCCTTCTTCTCCCTCGCTTTTCTCCTTCTCTCTCTCTTTCTCTCTCTGTAACCTGCGCCTTCCCATTCACCTATAAAAGGGGAAGCACGAGCACACGGCTGAACAAGCTCAACAAGACTCAATTTCGTTCGATCTTTTCACCAGAGACTTGGGACCTTCTCCCTCTCTCGCCCATTTGTAACCCCTACTACAAACTAGTACCGGTAACACGAGCAGCAGCAGACTGGACGTAGGAACATTCCGCCCGAACTAGTATAAATCCTTGGGTCCTCCGAGCACACCATCCGGGCCAGACGCGTAGATACAAATTTACTAGGCTGGTGGTTCGAAACACCGACACTACTCATGTGGATGGATAGCTAATAAAAATCCGATACAAAACTATAGAAGGGAAGTCGTGTAAGAAATAAAAAATCTTAATCATATCAAGAGTCAAGTCGAATACAAAACTATAGAAGAGAAGTCATGTAAAAAATCAATCAAAGTTATAAAAAGCGTTAAGCGCTAAGCGAGTGGTGACCCGTCGCCTAGAGTTTAAGCATACTTAAGCGTTTTGTGATGTAGCAAACATTGAAGTTTTTTTTGTCTTGGACCGAACAAATGAGAGATGAGAGTGGAGAGTAATTGAGAGAGTGCAAATGAATAAGGGCTAGGTCCCTCTCCACCTCCCCCTCTCTGTCGTAAATTTGTGTAACATTTTGAACTAATTATAAAAATGAATCAGCAATGCAAGTCTTTCGATATATTTCCAAGATGCTATTTGTTTTTTTTAAATACACTTATGTGCCGCAAGTGCAATTTATTAAACACTAAATTTTGATTGCTATTGTGCCCCTTACCGAAAAACTATAATGTATAATGAGTTTCGATTGCAGTTGTATTGCTTTTAGTAAATTTTGCAATATATTACCGAGGGCTTGGACTGGTTGCCGCTAAGGTTGTGTTTGATCTGTTTTATTATAGGATATCTATGAATTGACATGTCAAAAATTCATTAATATTCATCTAGGGTATATGAAATTGTTTAAATATGTGTGTGTCACACGTGCATCTTTACTGGTTATTCTTAAATGATAGTTACATCTCTCCTCGGTTGTGCCAAAGTAAGAATAAATAGAGACCCTTTAAGTAACAAGCTAATATACCCCCTTCAAAAAAAACAAGATTTGGTTAGACAAATCAAATATTTGAAGTTTGATTAATCTTACAAAAAATATATCAACATATATGTCTCCTAACAAATTTACTAAGTTTATAATTATAATCTAATGATTTTTTTTGCATATTATAAAAATGTTAGTATTTCATTAGATTTGGAATAATCTAAATTTGTTTGACTTGACGGAAGAGAAAATTTCATTCTTTTGTGATTCAAGATGACATGTGTCCATCCGAGGTATAGCAATGCTCGTCATCGTCAAAGAGGGTTTGATTTCAAGATGAATTAATACAAGATGTCAAGTTTGATCACAAGATGACACATACCTTTATGAGTTAGAACAGCATGCTTGCCTGTGGTACATGGTACTCCCTCCATTTTTACTTACACTAAAAAATTCTCTCTCTATAAAGTAAAAAAAGAAGAGTTGTCAATTCCTCATTAAAAACATCTTATTAGATTTGACCTAAGTTAAATATTTATATCTTTGACCATGGATTTTTAAAAGTATATAGGTTCATGATATAAGATTTATGTTTTTAGATTCACTATGAAAAACACTTCCATAATATAATCAAAAGGTTGTAAAACGATAAGGATTTTTTGAAATGGATAGTCAAAGATAGTAATATTTGACTTAGGACAAATCTAATGTGACATGTAAACAAATGGAGAGTATGATTCTAAGACGAGTTAGATTGGATGACCCCGTTGCAACACATGCGTATATTTGCTAGTAAATACAACTTGGCAAATTGGTGAATATAATGTCCGAACATTGCTAATATGGCAAAATACATACATATCAGTTAGACACTAGAACTAATAGATAACCTTTCCAGCACGAACATCCCAAATCAATCATGAACAATACTAGATTAGTTACAATCTACAAAAGATAATCACATTTGTACTAGAAGTTTTCAATCTTCTATTTTGGACCAATAAGATATAACATTTCTATCTGACCTACTTATCGCACGATAAACTATGACCATAATCCTATCAATACCCTATGCTATCACTCTAGTATCCGACAACAAATTGTTGATCACCTTTAAGTGAAAATACAAACTTATACGGTCATAATATTGGCCAAGAACAGAGTAATCGCTGCAAAAACAAATGATGGTACCAGTCCTACAAATCGAAGAGCTAATATCCTCGTGTGAAAAAACTTACCTTGGCATGATTTGAAAAGAGGATTAAAGTTCATGAACAACAGACTAACTATATTCACACGACACCTGCTTCTTGGTGATGAGGCTCCATGTTAGTGACTTATATGTTTGGCGTTGTGAAGCACCTGCTTGGTGATGCCCATCTTATAGTTGCCGAAACCATCATAAACAATTCCATACGCATAATGAACGTGTCGTAAACCTGCTATTAACCCTAGCACCTAATAAAATACATATTTTATCACACTCATAGTGTTTGTATACCATACATGTATCAATTTAAGAAGTTAAGTACTGCTTATTACTTGAGCAGTTTACAAGTTGGACTAATTTACACCCATCTACTAAGTTGTTTTTCGATGAATGTAATTAATTACTCAAACAATATTAATGTTATTATAGAGGATGTACACTGCAAATAACTGTTGGATGAATGAATTGTTGTATTTTGCATGGGCATTTACCTAGTTATACCAAAACAAGCACCGAAGAAGCTTCGTATCTCAAAGCAAAATTTGTGATCCCGTATCTTTTGCCAACCGACGCGAGACTCGTATTGATCGGTACTATAGTGTTCAATACGGAGCGCCGTGACAGGCAAAGCATGGGCTAAATGGATATTAGTGGCGACCTAACTAATGTGCCGTCTTAAGCACGAGCGTTTGTTAATTGTTACTATACTCTTATAAGAAAGAAGACACCACGAGCTTTGCTAGATTTACAGTTGGACGTTGCGTGGATGCCATTACTTGCCATCTCAAACGACTCATGATTTGCAAATTAGCAAGGGCTTTTGCGCTTTAAAACACGAAATCCTTTTTTGCTTTGAGTTTTAAATTTGGAAGGAAAGAGGAAAACAACTTTTGGGTTGCTTTCATAAGGCAAGTCTGGGTTGTCCATTTCTAAACTGTACATCTAAACCTACTGTGATTCGTGAGGTTGTTTATTCCCCTATTGCTGCTACCATGACCAGCATTGTCTGGGTGAGCAGAGCAAATTCAGCCATTCATGATTCAAGATTAATTACAATATAATACCGAGGGCGCTCTAAATGGCACTGAATACCTACCATTATCTTTTGGAGAGGGCACTGGAGACCGAACTTTTATTCAACCACCAGAGCCGGCTCAAGATCAGTTTTCACCTTTCATAAACCTTTTCTTAATTGCAACGTGACCACTCCCCTCTGAAACTTTGAAGGTCTGAATATTCCCCTTCTATCCCATTGCACGATCTGGAATAGAAGCTGAGAAGTCAGTCAGATCTGCAGTTACAGAGCCTGAAATAAAAAGATGAACGGTTACTGCCTTTTTTACTGGAAGCTGCAGAGAGCCCAGCCGGTCAGAGGCGACGAACAAGACTGCTAGCTAGGGTTTCCCAGGCCCGCTTCCTTCGGTCGGCAGCATCCCCCTCGGCCTCTTGGGATTACAAAAGAAATTCCCCCACGTCGCTTCCGAGACTCTCTGGCTACCACTCCCACTCCCCCCTTTTCTTTGTTCGAATCCATTGGAGCCCACGAGGTCGTTGCCTCCCTCCCTCCCCCACCCAAAACCCTCTGGCCTCTGCCTCTGCCGCTAAATAAGTGAGAGCCCCATCACTTCGAGTCTTGGATCCTTGAAGATTCTGTGCAATCTCATCATCTCTCGTGCTGGGTCCTATTCTTGGCAGGCTAGCAGTTCCTGGAGTTTCAGGACCCGCCGGCTAAAAGGTGTACTCCTCATTACAGAATCTGCAGGGTAGATTGGCCTGTTCTATTCTTCGATTGTTTTTGTATTTGTTTCCTTCTCCTGGACTCCAATCGGCTAGACGTAATCTTAAATCCACATTCCGTGTTCATGGCATTGATTCGATCGAAATAAACATGTTCGGAAGCCGCGATCTTTGTTTCTTGGAATCTATGCTCGTTTGACTTGTTGTCTCCAAGCAGACTGAAGATCACAGACGCTCGGAGTCGGACGCTGCTGCTCAGTCTCATCTTGCACGCCGGAATCTGATCTTGGAGATGGAGCCGGCAAAGGGGAAGATGAGGAGGACGTCTTCCAGCCTGCTTCTGCGAATCACGGACATCTGCAAGGTGCATTCCGTCGCTGTCGCGGAGAACGTCGGCGAGAAGCCCAACGCCGGCAGCACGGGGGGCAGCAGTGAAGACGGTGCACACCTGAAAATATATCTGCATCAAGTCTCTGACCATGAGAGTTGCTCTGGAACTTCCACTGCCCGCTATGAGGAAGCGGTTGTTGAGAAGCTTCTTGATGCGGTCTCTGGTCTGAAGCTGGCTTATGTCAAGGTTCAGCAAGCACATGTGCCTTATAATCCTGAAAAGGTTGCGGCAGCTGGTGAGCATTTTGTGTCAGAGCTTGAAGAGACAGCTGGGCTTAAAGATCTGTATTTTGGTGTCAGCAAGTGGAGCAATCCAATGTACCAGTCTCATGTGAGCTCAAGGATTCATGAGCGTCAAAAGCTTGCTCTGGAGTTGCAGGCTGACATCTGCAAGAAAGATTCTGAACTTGTTCTGCTGCGATCAGAATTTGAAGAACTGGAAAGGAGGAATATGGAACTGAAGGAGGAAGTTGACAGGAGAGCGTTGCTCATGCAAAGAGAAATAAGTTTTGACATTGGTAAAGGTGGATCAATAGATATGTTCATTGAGTTGTTTGAGAATTCATCAAAGTGCATACATGATTTCACGAAACTCGTCATCAGTTCGATGAAAGTTTCTGGATGGGACCTGAGCTACTCTAAGTTTCCAGTCGATAAATCTGTTGTATTTGAGAAAAAGACTGACAAGAAGTATTGTGTTGAGGCGTACTTTGCTCGGGCAATGCTGATGGTGACCAGAGAGGAGTATTTTTCCATGGATTCATTTTACCATGTTATGAGTTTCAAGGATCCATTCGATGCTCTTGTTGAGTCCCCAAATTCAACCTTTGGAAGATTCTGCCGAGAAAAGTACCTGGTTGCTGTACCAAGTAATATGGAGGATTCCTTCTTCGGAAATTTGGATCACAGAGCATTTGTCGAGATGGGCGGCCATCCAAGGACACAATTATACCAGACATTTGCAAGAATGGCTAGATATGTCTGGGCATTGCTCACAGTTGCTTGCTTCTTGAAACCAAGGGCTGAGATGTTCTTTGTCAAGAGTGGCGTTCAGTTTCAAAAGAAGCACATGGAAAGTGTACCAGCTAAGCTGACCACAGAGGAAACAAAGATCAGTGTTGGGTTTACAGTAATGCCGGGCTTTAAGATCGGATGCACTGTCATCCGGTGCAGGGTCTACCTGTCCATGCTCAACACAAGAGACTCCTAAAACCACACATTATATATAACTACAGTATTAGGTAAGCAAAATGCAATAGGTATAAAGTACTCCATAGTTCTATAAATAAGCTTACAGTTGGAAGCTCCTCCTGTATTGTGACTAGGAACATGAGCTAATAGATGACTCAAGAGTACTAACTTGTTGTAAAGTTTTATGCTACTATGTAAACATTTTCAGTAGTTTGTTCTGAATCTTTCTGGATCATGCCGTCGTTCATGATCTACTTGAATACACTGAAGAAATTGAACTATGGAATGCTCTGATTCTCAGTATATACCATTTCATTTGGAAAATTGTGCACAACGAAATTTTGGCCCTTTGAAGCCAGAACACTACCTATTTGTATCTAACCATGAGTGAAACAATTATATAGTTCATCTGGCGAAGATTTTGGCAAAGAAATTTGCCGGTTTTGGGTTCTCCAAGCATGCCACATGAGCATATCTTCCTAGTTTGTCAACCTGTCTTGGCTCCCCCCTTGTGTCCTTCTTGCAGATCTTGCAGGTCTTATCGACCCAACCTTCCTCCACGTATTGTCCATCGACTGAATTTGAAACCAATTTGATTGGTCAGTATTCGGTAACTTGCATGATATTCTTTCTGTTGTTCAGAAAAGAATAACCAAAAGTTTGTGTGTGATAATATATTTTCAATAGGCACTATTTTCATCATACTGCAACTGTTTTTTACTGTATCACTCTATACAACTTATTCAATCATGCAGTGTCTATCTGAATATCAGTAGACAATACACGCGATTATTCACTTGGCATTTCATTACTCTCATGAGAAAGGTATGATCAGATACCATCAACATATGACTTGAAGAAATCCTGGTAGGTACCACCAATCTTCCGCCTCAGTGCTCCGTACTTCATCGCCAATCAAACAAGCGTATGAAAAAAGAAATTCAGACTACTGATGGTAACATTAAGGAACCGCACCGCACTTGCTTTGCATCAGTGGTTGTGGTTCCATACCTGTTCCCTCGTCATCCTCCCTCCACCTTTGGTGGACTCCCTGGCCTCATACAGCAGCTCGGCATCCTTCTCCGACCGGACCTGCGAGAAGTCCAGCGCCTCGGTGATGCTTCCGAACAGGGACTGCTTGTTGCCCTCCTCATTTCCCTTTGCATAAGCTCTAACTGATCTGGGGCTACCCATGATTTGGTGAGCTCCAAACGAGGAGCTCTTGGAAGGGGTCAGCGGAAGAGCCCTCATGGCCATTGCTTCAGGAATCAGGAGTTTTTTTTTTTTTTTTTGAGACGAAAGGAATCAGGAGTTCAGGTGCAAGTGGTTTCTGCACAAGTATGTATAAGCTCCCCAGCGATCGGGCCGTTATATACGCAGGACCATTTGGGGCGCGGACAAGCAGCGGCAGCAAGGCAACTCTGTGGTGGCTACAAGGCTACGTGGTGCAAGGCAGGCCTGCTGAAACGAGAGGGGAATTCTGGCCCAGTGCGACGTGGGTGTGTTCAGGCTTCAGACATGAGGAGGAGGGCGCTGCGTGTTGCTGTTGCCTGCCTGCAGCGCTGTGTGTGGCCCAGGAAGTACAGCAAGAGGATTGCCGGAGCTAGTGACTGAGAACTGGGCTGCGTGGCTGGTTTACCTGAAGTTTACAGAAAGGGATATTTGTGGAGCAGAGAAACACTTTGCATGATTAAGCAGAAAAGGGAAAAAAAATACTTGAGCATGCTTACTTTCAGTTTTATGAAGATGAAGATACTGTTCCAGGCTGAGGTTTGCTCGGTGCCTGTATTAGCTAGGTTTTTTTGTTCTAGCTTGAAAGTAACCATGTGCACCGTGCATGGTATCATCAAGACCTCAATTATAGACGTGATTTGTTTATCTACTTTGCTTGACCTGGCTGTCTCCCGATAAGTACAGGGTGCAAACACTGACAATCTGACATAGAGCCCCGAGAAGGCCTGACTTTGCTTTTAACTCGGATGAGTTCAGCTCTAAAAGCAACTTCTATCAAGCTATAGATGGTTATTCTAATCTAGGAATAGGATCTCCAATTACTCGTGCATAATGCCTGGATGCTGGACATGAGCCCTTGACCTTCCGGATCAAAAGAATATTGCTGCATGCAGCCTTTTCAGTTTATTAATTAATGGACAGTCATGCTTGCTAAGCAGCTAGCTGATGAGTGACTCCGCAGGAGTATTTCAGATTAGATGGTTTGATAGTTGAAGGTGAGTGATCACTTGAAAAACATTTGGGCAGGCCACTGAGCATGACTGCATGCCGCTTTGGCACCCCAGGTGAAGGCTGAAGGCAACAAGCATGTGGACCTCAGGTGCCGCAATCTCCATGATGACCTGCCTCGTAGCAATGTCCCCGCTTGAATATTGATTCCCCATCAGATGGTCGTAGCATCAGCATTCAGCAGCATCAATGCTGAAACAATCATGGCGCCATGCATGCCGCCGTGACACACACGCCCCTTTCGTTGGTCGCCGGCCGGCAGGGGCCCTTGTGATCGAATCAACGTCACACAACGCCCCGGCGAACAGTTGCCGGTCCTTTTCTATCATATCGTCGTCGGGAGGATTTAAGTGCTGCCTTTCCTTGCTCTGTGACGGAACCCTTTGCTTCAGTCAGTATGCACACAAGGATGGATGGGTTGCCATTGTTCAGGGATACTGCTTGTGATGTTTCTTGGAGACTAATGACGAGAGACCAAGAATAATGTTTTGGGGCTAATTAAACAACCTCCGATCGAGCATTGGAATGGCAATTGGCAACGACCAAGAAGAAATATAGAATTGGACCACCGGCATGCATGGTGAGGTGGACACCAAAGATTAACGGGAGATTAAGCGGAGGCTTCGCTGCTGCGGCGGCCTTGTTGCAAGAGACGATAGGCAATATAAATGATAAAGAATAGTAGATCAAATATAGGGGACACGAGATTTTAATGTAAAAACTCTCCCAAGAAGAAGGGAAAAACCACGGCACTAGCCAGTAAATCTTCACTATATAGGATGAGGTTACAAACGTCGGGGATTTATAACTTTTCTCTTATCCTAAGACGACAGCTTACAGCAGGTATATATAGAGATGGAAAACCCTAATAGGCGATGATCCGTACCGTGGGGGGCTCCGCCCCCCTGCACCCCCCTAGGCGTAAGCCTCCCGGCGACGGGCCCCGCTTCGCTCCGTCAGAAGCTAGCATTTATCTTATACATAACTGAATTTAGATCACAACTCAACAAACTCCATCTTAAGATAAATTTCTTCTTCTAGTATAAAACGAACCTTCACCCTTAAACAAATAGCCTCTTGGCTAAACAGTTATACCAACTAAGCTTGAGCAAAGCTCAAACTTAGCAACAGAAACTGACTTTGTCAACATATCAGCAAGATTATCATGTGTGTTTATCTTGCATATCTTTAACTTACCTTGCGCGACAACATCACGATCATAATAATATTTGACATCAATGTGCTTCGTTCTCTCATGGAACATCTGATCTTTAGTGAGACATATAGCACTTTGACTGTCACAAAACAAATTAATGCAAGAATCAACTCCATAAAGCTCAGCAAACAAACCTTTCAACCAAACCGATTCTTTACATGCTTCAGCAATAGCCATGTATTCTGCTTTAGTGGTAGACAGGGCAACAACGGGCTGTAATGTTGCCCTCCAACTCACAGCACAACCACCAATAGTGAACACATGACCTAAGAGAGATCTCCTCTTATTCAAATCGGCAGCAAAATTTGAATCCACGTAGCCAGTGAGTCCCTTATCAGTCTTGCCAAACTTCAAACAAGCATTTATTGTGCCACGAAGATACCTGAAAATCCACTGAACAGCCTTCTAATATTCTTTATCAGGATTAGCCATGTATCTACTAACCAAACTCATAGCATATGATAAATCAGGACAAGAGCAAACCATGGCATACATCAAAGAACCAACAGCACTAAAATATGGAACTCTTGACATGTACTCAAAATCCTCATCCGTACCAGCACATTGTAAAACTGATAATTTAAAATGAGGAGCAAAGGGAGTACTAACAGACTTTGCATCATTCATGTTGAAATGATGAAGGACTTTCTTAATGTAACTTTGCTGACTAAGAAATAACAAACTAGATTTTCTGTCTCTTGTAATCTCCATACCTGGAATTTTCTTAGCAACACCAAGATTCTTCATCTCAAACTCACTACTAAACAGTTTCTTCAACGTAGTGATTTCTTTCTTGCTCTTGGCAGCAATCAACATATCATCAACATATAACAGCAAGTATATAGGTGATCCATCAACAAATTTAATGTACACACAGCTATCAAATTCAGACCTCTTAAAACCATGTGACATCATAAAAGAATCAAACCTTTTATACCATTGATGATGAGACTGTTTCAAACCATATAAGGACCTCTTTAATTTACAAACATGATCCTCCTTACCAGGTACTATGAACCCTTCTGGCTGGTCCATGTATATCTCCTCCTCGAGCTCTCTATGTAGAAACGTAGTCTTTACATCTAACTGCTCAAGCTGAAGATCTCGCATAGCAACAATACCGAAAAATATATGAATTGAACTATGCTTTACAACTGGAGAGAACATATCATTATAATCAACACCAGAAATCTGATTGAAGCATTTTGCTACTAACCTTGCCTTAAATCTTGGAGGCTCACTAGGAGATAAACCCTCCTTTCTCTTGAAGATCCATTTGCAACAAACTACCTTCTTCTGTTTAGGCAAGCGCACAACATCCCATGTGTCATTTTTCTCGAGTGACTGCATCTCTTCTTACATAGCAAAAATCCACTTCTCGCGGTCACCAAACAACAACTTCAGTGTACGTAGTTGGCTCATGAATGTTCTCCACCTGTTCAGCATAACTAAAGGCATAATGAATCATATCACATTCCTCAATTAAACATGGACAAGGTCCACAATTCCTCTTTGTTCTGTGATCTACAATAGACTGATTTTGAGGCTGCAAAACAGGAGGT